TTCCTAAATTGCACAGTCCCATAGTCTGCATAGAGATCAAAGACATTTGCTTAGCAACCATGGGAGAATTTTATGTTGTATTCTAGTTTAACAGGGTTATAATGGAGCAAATTTTGATGAAAGCAAAGTAAATTGATGATATTTTAACTGCTTGGAGATACATTTCCGTCTAAAAAATGTGGGTATAATGGATGAAACAATTTAAATCAAGAAAATAAGCAAATAATTTAAATTAGTGAAATTTAAAAAAATATATAAGAAAAAATTTCCAGCTTTTCTTTAAAATTTCCAGGTTTTTATCCATATTTCCCTGATTTTTCCAGGTTTTTTTCCAGTATAAAAAAAATTCCCTGATAATTCCAGGTTTTCAAGGTTTTCCAGGTGGGTGGCCACCCTGATTAGAGTTACAAGAACAATATTTGAACAAATTACATGCATATACCATATTCATCCTTTGATTCATTTGTTTTTCAAATGATTTTTTTATGTACATAGCAGTTTGGATGATGAAAAATATAAAATCATAAACTAAAAAATTAAATAAAAATAAAACAATGCAAATATGATGATTTTTTAACAACATTCTTACCACAATGTTTTTGGAAAGTAGAAAATTTAAAAATAATGTATAGCTACTAGTAAAACTGTATAAGATAATGACAATCTCTAACAATCAGAATAAATTATAACCCATAAAATATAAAAGGTATTTCTTTTTTTTCTTTTTTTTAAATTTTCTTTTTTATGTTTGTTGTTGAACAGCTGACCCAATTTAGTGTTTACGACTACCAATGTTCAACTCTGTAGCCTTGTAATTTTGAACCCAACTGATAGGTTCATAACTATTGATAGAAAAAGAAATTAGACTTAATCATTGATAGGATAAATCACTATTTTCCTAAACGAATTCCTTACAAAATTAATAAACCTGATTTCCATTTCCTTTAAATCACAATTTTCTTTCATAATTGAAAGAAAAACAAAAAAGCAAATTATCATTACTACATAATTTTATTTTATTTGCAGAAAACATATATAACTTTATATAAGACTCACAAGGAATGGATTCAGGACTTGAAAAATAAAATTTACAGAATATTATTATTTGTTTTTAGGCAGAAATTTTTTTAACTAAATAGCAAAAAAATATATATATACTCAGAGTGTTAAAGTTTATAGTGAAATCAGTTCCCAATTCTTCTCTTTTCTTTGAAGCTAAAGCAGTAAGACTTTTACAAATTGGACTCACGGCAGATGTCAGATTTTCTTGTATTAAACAATCTAATATTGTGGGCCAGAGAATCTAAAAGAAGAAAAAAAAATTGTTTTCATCTAATGCTGTAATAATGTTATATGTTTGTATGTATTCCAAATAATGTAATATGTTTTTATATGTATATTTTAAGTTTGGTTGGAATTTTATCTATATAAACCTTCTGGGGCCAATTTTTTCCATGCTGGAGTGTGTGTCCTGCGGATTATATCCTACAGGAGTTATTATGTGTCCCACAGGATGCAGCTTAATTTATTTGTCTCATCAGTTTTGTAATTTTCAGCATAATTGATCTGTTATAGTGCACGAGCAGAACCCCTCCANGTTTGTGTCCTGAGGAATGTGTCCTACAGGAGTTATTATGTGTCCCACAGGATGCAGCTTAATTTATTTGTCTCATCAGTTTTGTAATTTTCAGCATAATTGATCTGTTATAGTGCACGAGCAGAACCCCTCCATTCGTAATAATAAAAAACACAGTGTTTATGTAAAAAATAAAGTTTGTGTGACAAAAAGTAAAGTCCATGTGTCATATCCCCAGAAGAACTTGTACTAGGATTCCTAAATTAAAACAGTAGGTGCAAGGAAAGATTTTCGCATCTAATCTGAAAAATCGTTCCAAAATTTAATTTGCTGATTTGGAATAGGCATGTAAAAAATAAATTTTTTTCATAGGAGTATTAGGCATTGTTGCAAACTAAATTGCAGGGAATTCTTTTTTTTCCCCAAATTATTTAATGATCATTGTAGCTTACAGAACTGCTTATTCAATGATGAGTTTCACTTGAAGTTTATTACACATCCCTTAATAAGTATTTATGTTTGATTTTTTATGTCCAGTAAGCACAAGAAAAATAAATGTAATTAACATATTGGGGAGAAAGTTTCTAAATTATTATTTTTAAAGCTTTTTGAAACCACGCATTTATTATTTTCATAGTTATGCTTTTGACACGGGTTTCTATGAAATAAATAATTAAAAATAAATGGTAGTTAAAATAAAAAATTAAGTTACATATTTATTGAATTGGGGGATTGCTTGATTGTAGTAAGTGTTGAGTAACATGTGTAGTTAAAGATCAATAGCATCACATTTGGAGTTGAATAATACTGAGTTACTTTTATTTTGTTTTAATGAGTTGCACTTCTGAAAATATAATTCACTTAATCTAATAATGTAAAGTTATCAGAAAGAGCAACAAATAATAATAAACATTTAACTTTTTTTAAATGTGTGGATATATGCCATTCAGTTTTTTTAATGCTTGTCTCGTGTTGATTAGTACCTATTTATTAATTATTGACTCTATTTTTACCCTAGGTGTTCAGCTAGTTCTAAATAAAGTATATAATGCAGCTATTAAACATGCAAGTCATTATAAACTAGCAGAAATTCCCATTCTCTGTATGGGGGGGAAAAAAGAAAATAATCAATAAATCAGTACTAAATAACACCTAAATCATGTAAAAAACTAAATGACACATACCAACACAATAAACAAAGCTAAAATAATTTCAATATTTATTTATTATTATTTGTTGCCCTTCCTATGGCTTTATACTATTAGATTCAGCATAACTCATTTTTTTGTAGTTCATCTTATCAAAATAAGGATTAACTGTATTCAGCATCATTTGGCACGATGCAGTTGCTTGATGCCAACTCGTGAGTCTAAATTGACCACAACCAAATATATTTTTTTAGAACTTAGCACTTTCGAAGGAAAGTAAAAAAATCTTTCCATGGTATCCATTAAAAAACTGCACAGTATTGATGCAGTTTTAATAGGTAAAAAATATATTGATATAATGCATTGTACCTATATTAGTATATTTTCTACCTATTTAAACTACACCAAGAACCATAATACAAATAGTGCCTTTTATCAAATTTAATTAAGTATAATTGACATCAAATATAATATGGTAATTTTTTATGCTTCTCCTAAACAAATTACGACAATTTCTCCATTAATTTTGCTTTCTAGTAGATAGCTTTATGGGGATATATTTACTGATTATATCAACCTTCATCTATGAAAGGGTACCCCAACATAAAATCGAGTTAACATGTCTTATATACAAGCTTATTTTTTTAAAATTATTTTAGAATCAAAACTAATTAAGCATAATTGGCTTGACATCAATCACAGTATGACAATTTTTTCACTTTTCTTAAACAAATCAGTACAATTCCCCCATTAATTTTTTCCCCTTTCAGTACATAAGTTATTCTTTTATTTCAATTACTATAAATTTTTAATTATATAGGATTGAGGGCTAAAAAAGACCCTTGCAGTTACTGTCTAAATTTCAAAAGGTAGATTCAGGAGTTATAAGAGACATACACACAGAAAAACTGCTCATTTAATTATTATATATTAAATGCATTTATAATTAAATTAAATGTACATAAAGTTTAAATATTTAAACTATAAAGGAAATACAGTTCCTTTGATTACTTTTATGACACAACAACCCATTGTGGGCCTTAGCTTGCTGAATTACGTTGTTCCAAACAAAGTGTTTCTTTTTTATTAAAATGAAAAAGTGTGCAATTTCAGAAACAATCTTATTCTTATATTAAACATGTGGCATAAACTTTTCATTGATTTAAGTATTAAATTCTAATAATACAAAATATTAGAATGACTCACATTTTCCATATTCTCTACTGTTGTAGTCAACAAATGCATGACGTTTTCACACATTCCCCTCAGAGCTTCATTACTCACATAACTAGGATCACCAGGCCTTCTACCCTACAGAAATAAACACACAAGAAATTTAGAATAAACTAGATGGGCAAATAGGGTGTTGTCTAAGTTAACAAGGGCAAGAGAACTCCTATAAGAGAAAAATTTAATTTTCATACTGAAATAATTTTAAATTCTACATTAATTGCATGAGACTGTTGCAGGCCTCGTAGCTGATTCTTTCAACAAAAAATAAGCACCTTTAAAGTACTTTTTAAGCAGTCAAAAAGTATTTTTAAACACCATATACATTAACAAAATGCAAAATAATTTTCAAAGATGATCATGATAAAATAACAAGTTTCTGACAAAAAAAACCCTTTTCTAGATTATATTAATCACCATAAAGAGATCGAGAGATTTTTCGATTTAATTTCAGAGGGTGGCAAATTAAAGCTGAAATTGAGAATATATCTTGCAAAATACAGCAGAGTAGCATATGAGAGTGTAAAAATCTCATCGCACCCAGCTCAGTAGACATACATGCGGACTCGCAAGTATTTCATCAAATATGTAACACAATTGGTGCTATCATACCTTACAGAACGACGTTACGCCGAAACAGATTGTGGTTTAATTAAATGTCAAAACGTTGAATAGAACAATGAGAAAAACACAGTCTTGCATAATATGGGGTGAAAATCGACATGGTAAAGAAAAAAAATCATTTTTGAAATGGGAAAATTAAGCACTTTTTAAAAATACCCAATGAAAAAATCACCTTTAAGGGCTTATAAAAAGCGAAAATAAAAAATAAGCACCTTTAATCACTTTTTAAAAATACTACACACCATGCACATGGGAAAATAGGGTGTTGTCCTAATGCTAACAAGGGCAGGAGAACTCCTAAGAGAAAAACTTAATTTTCATACTGAAATAATTTTAAATTTTACTTTCATTATATGAGATTGTTATAAGACAATTAATTATTTAACAATCTAACAAATCGATAATAGTGATTTATTTCATGGTAACTGAGCTGGCAAAAGCATTTGGTAAAAAGTACAGAGCCCACTGCATATTAAAATAACGTCTATACTGAAAATAATTGACTTTAAAAGCCTGCTGCTTTTATAAACCGGAATGTTTACACTTAAAAAATAAATTTCAAAGTTAAATTTAACAAATACAGTAAAAACTCAATTGATTAGTACACTTGTAATTCATTTTTACTGAATCTACACTTGACATTTTAATTAAACATGAACTACAATTTTTTATAACTTACAAAAGGATTTTAAAATGTTGATAATATATTTAATTTTAAAATATTTAATTTTGAGATTTAATATCAAAAAATCAATAAAGTTGAAAAGTTCATAAAAGTTTTTAAAACTTTCAATATTTTCTTTTTCTATTTCAGTTCAATCTACATTTAGTTTTTTTGTTTGTTGGTGGCAGGATGGACTTGTTTATTTATATGAACATAACATAAAATTGAAGCATATGCAACATAAAATTGAAGAGATTTTAATTATTTTAAGTGTATACCCAACAACAATTTGACTTTTAAAAATTTGATAAGAGGATGCTTTTAGCATGTTTTTATATTGTTATGTATCCGTTCTTACACACATGATTTCAAAAAGAAGATAAATATATAATTCATTGAATTTATTAGTGACTGTCACTGTACTGCAATGCTTAGATAAACTTAAAAAATATTTTTAGACATTGTAAATTAATCTGAGTTTAACACTTTTTATTCATTTTTATGTGGATACTGGAAATGATTTTCAAATGAGTACATAATGAGCCCCATAAATTTTCGTTCCCAGAGCCCTAGATAAAAAATAGCATGCATTGATTCCAGGTACCAAAAAAATTTGGTACTAGTATCAATGCCTGCAAGTGTTTGTGTTGTTCATAGTTATAGTTATAACAAAAAAATTTAGATGAAAATAAAGGAATCATTAAGATTATACATATGTATGGCCTATCATAAAATCAAAAATTATTCAGGCATTCTCTTTTTTGTTTTACACACTGTATTTTATATCAAATTTTTATACATATTGAAAGACAAAGCAAAATATCTTGCCTCAATAAACTCAGGTAACAGTGAGTTTAAACAAAATATTTGAAATATATGAAGTATAAAATTAATTTGATGAATCATTAATTGCGAAAAATAATGAAAAATAACGCAATCAGAGATGGAAAAAATTTAAAAAATATGTTTAAAAATTTTAATATTATTGTGAATAAATTTCAATAGCAGTTAATTGAAGTTAAATGGTAATTCACAAGAGATTTTTTTAAATAACTGATATTTTCTTAGTAATAATTTTTTTTCCAACTAATTTTTCATACCAGTACAATTAAAGGAAAAGGAAATTTAGTTATTAGGGAATTATACAAAGTTTCTAAAACCAATGTGGGAAAAAACACAAACGAAATTGTTAAAATGGCACTTTCAGTGTCAGCAAAAACTTACCATAAATTTTTACAAATTTTGTACAAAACTGCAGATAAAGATTATAAAAGTTGCTTTCTTGAGCAACTTTTCATTCACCAAATAACCATCTCAATTGTACAAAAGAGATAAAAAATCAAGCTTTCTTTGTTCATATGCAACTTATAAATTATTAAGTTAAGCTTTCTGTGCTTAAATGTTCAGTTAACAAAAGTTTATAAGTTTTTTTAAATAACATCATCAATACTCAAATGTGTAAATGGTATAAGAAAGAAAATTATAAATGAAATTAACTTACAGGTGGATCATCTGGGAGGGCACACTGATGAATAATAAACCAAACCATATCAATACCACCTTCTTTCTTTAAATGATCATGATGAGCTAAAGTCACTATAACCTGAGCAATCATTTTCTTCACCTAAATGGTAAAGTAAATTTCACAATATTAATAATAAATTCATAACAAAAATCATTATAATAACAATAATTCATAATAATAACAATCAATAATAAGAGTAGCAATTAATAGCTCCATAATTTGAGACTTATAGATAAATTTATTAAGTTAAATTTATCAGATAAATTTATTAATTGCAGGTAATTCTGAGCAGGAGCATTGCATATAGGCATTCATTAAGAAATAAGAAACAACACAACTAACGGTTCATTTTCAGAGAAGTTATAATCAGAGTATGAAAAAGTGGCATCTAAACTAGTTTATTAACAATTTCTTAAAAGAGGAAAAAATAATTCTTTCCTTTATTTTGTTTACCACTGGACTAAATTAAAATAAAAATCATGCAAGCATACTAAAAACTATTGTGGATTGGTTACATTTAGATTAAAATGCAAGCACAATTCTGTTAGATTAAACATACCCATATTGATGCAATCACTTTATGTTATATTCTCTGATTCATCAATTCACCTAAAAATGGCACTTACCTGGTTCTTTTACGAAGCTTTTCAATTGTGTAGGTATATGTCTTTTAGTTCAGAGCACTATTTCGGAGTGTTGTTCAGTGCTGATTTTTTTATTTATTTGCTCCTTGCAAAGAATGGGTATTCAGCTAGTTCATACATTAAATAATTTAAATATTTGCATGAGTATCTTTTTCATGAAGGGCATTCTGAATAATCCTCTTTAAAATACAAGATTATAACCATTCATTTCTTTGAATGTGTATGAAATTTTGCCCATAAGTCCACAAATCAAAAACAAAAGAAAACTTAACTTTTCATGTTTTATAATTCAAATTTTCAACTATCACATAAACAAATAAAAAAAATAGCATACAAAACACAGTTGGAGAAAAGCTTCTTCATAAAATGATTTTTAAAGATTAGTAAAAGCGCTATTGTGTTGTAACCTCAAATGCAATAAAGATTCGAATAAATTTTTTTTTTTTAAATATTTTTTGACGATTAAATGACACCTTCTAAATAGAAGCTATTTTTATTTTGGTAGCATAAATAGTTTAACATTTGCAACTAAAGTTATTTTCTTGATTATGAAAAAAAGTTAAAATTGATTTTGTATGAAATATTGGAATGAATAGTTGATTTAAAATAACATCGCATTTATGAAACAGAAAATGAGACTTTAGACATTAGTTTTCAAAAATGAATTGCATTAAGAGTTTTTATAAGAAGCATAAATTTCATAAAAATACATAAAATAATAATACAAAAAGGTACATGCATTACACAAAATTTGTATATTATGGGGTAATTAGAATCAAAATCCTTTTTTTAAATTTATTTAATTCCTTTTTTTTAAAATCATACTAGTTAATACTTAAACAAGATAAAAAATAATGAACAATTGTGCAACAATAGATTTATAACAAAAAATTTCTATTTATAAATGTATATTCATTAAACAAATGAGTCCTTTACCTATAATTAAAATATTATCAAAAGAAAGAAGAATACGATTAAACAAAGCATAGAAAAATAAATAAATAAACTACGTAATAAGCACAAATGAAAAGATTTGTAAACTAGTTAGTTAAATTTTTTGTTAAAATTTATTTCCGTTCAAAATTAATTTCCCACCTACTTGAGAACGGTTGTCTTTTTTTGATAGGCAAATTTCTGCATTTCTCAATTTTACTATAAGGATTTCATATAAGTCCATTATATCATTAATTCTGTATTTTTAACTTTTGTAATTAATGTGAATACTTGTATATTCCAATAGTTTATAATTTTTCTCAGCTATAGAGCACTAAATGATCAATCTTTGCTTGATGGTGCCTCAACTATAGAAATAAAGTTCATTAGAAGTTGTAAACAAAAAAAAAAACAAAAAAAAAAAAAAAAAAAAAAAAAAAAAAAAAAAAAAACTAAAGAAAGATTACTAGTTTAATTATTTTGAAAGTATTTAATGCGAAGAATTACATTATTTGTCTTATCATTGTTCAAATCTTAAAATCAGGTTTTATATCAGACAGTTTAATTCACAGGTCTAAACTGGCATTTAGTCTAATTCTTGATTTGTTTTTGATGAATGTATCAGCTAAAAATGAATAAAATAAGGTAAATTAAGATTTTCAGGTTTTATGTTAGACAGTTTAATTTAGAGATCTAAAATGGCATCTAGTCTAGTTCTCGATTTGTTTTTGATGAATGCATCAGTTAAAAGTGAATAAAAAAAGCTGAATAAAGATTTTCATTGAAACGAAAAGAAAAGAAAATTATTGATATAAAGGTTGAGAATGGTTATCTCTTATCAATAAAACAAATTTCATCCAATGTTGAGTTAATTTTTATTTTGAATTGAAGAGTTTGATGGAAGCACAAAAAAGCAAATTTTTATAAATACATCTTTTACATTCTTTATCAATATATATTTCTTTTTATTTCTTTCCCCAACATTTTACTTAAATAATTTAATGAAAATAACAAAAAATTATATATTCCATAAACTATATTATTCATGATCAAAAATCATAGTTGGTAAAATAAAAATTTATTGCCCATAGCTCCTATGACCCTTTTATGGAAACATAGGGATACATAGAACAATTTTTGGGAGCCGTTGGTCTGTACTATAGTACCAAACAATGGAGTATGCCTTCAACTTTTTTCATTTATGCCTATTATGTTGTTTTCTCTTTAATTTATGACATACCTTATTTGAAGAATCTAACACTGGCTTGATGCCTGATATAATAAATGGAATCTTTCCAGAGATATGAGTTTCTAAAATACATCAAATTTTTAACTAAAAATGAAATAAACATTAAAATTAATTAAGATGATCTACTATCAATTAGCAAGAATTACCCGATGAGTTGATCAAATGCTTGAAAACTGTAAGGGCTCCAATTTTATAAGCTTCGTTTCCACTTTCCAACCTTTGAAGCAAGAACGCAACCAGACGATTGGAATATAAAGATGCTGAAAAAAATAGTGAGCAATTTAAATATAAAATTATCAAAAAATTACATTTGATAAAAGTGGAGGCTTTTGACAAAAAAGAAAACAATTGCTGAGGATCTTTCCATGCATTGAATATGAAAAGAAAACAAATATTACCCCGTTTAGCTTTCTTCCCCATTGAATAGATGTTTATGAACTAAAAACTGATCTTAATAGTTTAAAAGGATGACCTTAATTATGTAATAATAATTAAATTATAATATTTATTATTAATAATTATGATCTTAATTATTTCTAAGAAACTGAAGAAAGATACACTGGTATATAGGATTAAAGGTTCGTTTAAATTTTTTTTAAAGATATTTAAAAATTTATGTTTACAATTAGTTAAATTTTATAAATGTAATTATAATTGAATTACTGTTTAAAATGAATCATAACAATACATTTCAAATTACATTACTGCTTTAAAAGTTGTTTTATAATACGTAATGTATAATACATGCAAATGCTTGATTCAAATTAATTGAAAATGGAGTAAAAATGTCTCATAACTTTACTAAAAAATAGGTAAAGAAACAAAAACCAAATAATTTTCCATTTCTATCTTGAATTAAAAAAAATTTTATACCTTATTTTTTTGTAGATTGACAAATATTTCTATACAGAAAAACTTAATTAACCCGTTTATTAAGTAAATCACACTTAAAGAAAAAGGTAATTTTTTAAAATTTTAAATAAATTTTAAAGCTACAAGAATCATAAAAAAATTTTAATCTCATACTACAATGCTTTGTAAATTTATATATCAGTGATTACATTTTAAAAAAACTATTTGATTTAAATAATGATTTTTTTCTTTTTTAAAAATGTAAATTTAAATCATGATTTGAATTGTAATTTAAATTTAATTCAACGTACTCTTCTTGTAAATGGAAAAATTTCATCCGCTTCAAAGGTGCATATTTTTGAGTTTCTAAGTATTTGTATCTAATTTATCTTCCATAATTTTTAAATAAATCTGTTACAGACATACACAGGCATGTTTTGTAAGTAAGCGTAGTAACATGTAAAATGATTTAAGTAACACAAAATTCTAAACAATGCATGATGCAAAGCCTCTCATTTTAAAATCTGTGCTATAAAGATCTACTATAATAATATTTAAGAATTATGAAGAAATTGGTAATATTTTCCCCCTAAATGAAAATCATTGAAATCGCTGGATAGTTTTCAATTTTATCACATTTTTATAAACCCAAACAATACAGCAATAAAATAACTTAACCACTTCCTTTATTAATTATTTTGAAAAAATACAAAAAATCAACAAGATTTTTTTTTATTTTATTAATAAATACAAGGAACTAAAACAAAACATACTGGACAAGTTTGAATTTTTTTTTAACGAGTAAGAAACATTTAACTTAAAATTAGTTTACTGTACCGAGTCATCTTGGGCAAATGAAAAAAAAGTTAAATATTAGTCTTTTGTGGTATTGCTTTTATGATGTTTTGTTACTTTTATCTTTGCAGCACTGCTCTGCTATAATTACTTTAAAGTTTTAGTTTCTCTTTCATAAGTTTTCACCTGCCCTTTTCTGCTCTTAAATAACTTAGCCAAAAATAAAAATAAAAAAGAAATAGCAAGTATAGCCCTACTTATTTTGTGATGGTGGTAACAGCCAATAAGAGTTGAGTATGCTTTGGGGGCTTGGTTAGAGGAGGTGAGAAAAAAGGAAAGGACANTAGTAATTTAAATTTAATTCAACGTACTCTACTTGTAAATAGAAAAATATCATCCGCTTCAAAGGTGCATATTTTTGAGTTTCTAAGTATTTGTATCTAATTTATCTTGCAAAATTTTAAAATAAATCTGTTACAGACATACACAGGCATGTTTTGTAAGTAAGTGTAATAACATGTAAAATGATTTAAATAACACAAAATTCTAAACATGGTAATATTTTTGCCCTAAATGAAAATCATTGAAATCGCTGGATAGTTTTGAATTTCATCATATTTTTATAAACTCAAACGATGCAGCAATAAAGTAACTTAACCACTTCCCTTATTAATTATTTTGAAAAAAGAAAAAATGCAAAAAATCTACATCAATTTTTTTTTTTAATAAATACAAGAAACTAAAACAAAACATAATGTACAAGTTTGAATTGTTTTTAACGTGTACGAAACATTTAATTTAAAATTAGTTTACTATCCAGAATTATCTTGGGCAAATGAAATAAGTCAAATATTAGTCTTTGTATGATAGTTCTTAAAACAAGAGACAACACAAAATGATATGAAATGACAACAGAAATGAAGGAATACGCCATTTTTTCCACTCTTATTGCTATGTAAATTCGTCAACCATCGTATAAACAATCACACAAAACACGTGCGCAGTCCCACAGTCCAAAAGCAAAACTCCCAAATAAAACTTGGCAAACTACCAATCACAGCAGATTATATTTTTAGCTACTGACCGAGAAAAAACGTGATAAAACAAAATGTACTGACAAATTCCGCTAAGCCTGAGTTTTCTCAAGGTGATAAATATTTGCAATATATACATACCCAAGTTAATTTGGGATAATCAGGAAAGCGGTTAAACTTTAAAAAAACGGAAAAAACAACAACATGGAAAAAAGATTTATATTGAAATATTGAGAGATGGTTAAAGTTTAACAAATAATAACAGTTATTAATTACAACAGTTGAGAATTCTGTACAGCTTGCTTAAATGCATTATTTCATACAAAGAAAATAAAACTAAAATAGTATAATGGCATTAATATTGTACTTTACCTAAAACTGCAAACCATCGTAAAACTTCATTGTGGTTTCTTACTCCAGATGGTTGGGAATAATCAGGTAAGGAACATATCTACAAAATAACATAGATTTTGTTTCAAGCAAAAATTTATTCTTGAATAATTTACAAATGTTTCATAAAAAGTTCACTCATTTACTCAGAAATTTTAAATCTTAATCCTTACTTAAAGGGATATGGTACGTAAAAATATAACATAATTTCTTTCTTCTTTTTTTAAATTTTAGTTATGATCATGAATTATATCATATTCAGTTATTATGTTGACCTATTTAAGATAATAAAATTCATAATAATTCCATAGATACCTTTACAACAGAGAACCTCTCTCTCTCTCTCTCTCTGTGTGTGCGTGGGTGTGTGTGCGATTTATTACTCAGCTTACCATTCTCATAAAAGACATTATTGTATGTGACCTAGCATAAATACTATATGGGTTCAGCTTGTCTGAGAAGTAAAGATGGCTGGTGTGCAATGATGACTTCATAGTCATGATCATACTTAACCTTCACAATTCCTTGGTTTACAAAAAGGTATTTCATAACCGTCATTGAACAGCCTATCCAATTTTGGGTTTACGATTACCAATGCTCAACTCTGTAGCCTTGTAGTTTAGAACCCAATTCAGAAAACAAGGGAGCTCCTGAATCAAGTAGTGGGCCTTCATGGAAGACTTATTCATTGAACTAACTCGCATTTGCGTTACATGAAGAGAGAAAACCCCAATAATCTCCAATGGCAAGATAACTCTAACCCATGATCCATCTACCACTGAGGATATTTTATGTCGGCACAATGGTCGGTGCAAGCTGGATGTGGAATTTGAATCCACCAGACATCGTTGGGATTAGAACCCAGGTCACCTCATTGGAAGGTATTTTATTATATCTTTACTTTATTCGTCACAGAACAGCCAACTCAAATGTGGGTTTATGACTACCAATGTTCAACTCTGCCACCTTGTAATTTTGAACAAATTCAGAAGACAAGGAAACTCCTGGATCAGTAACCCTAGAGGTATTGATTTGTTTTGGGAACATGGAGGACTTTGTGACTGAACAGATTTAACGTGCATCAGTCACCCTTTACTACACGGGGAGTCTTCCGGCGGGGATTTTAAGACTGAAACCCGCTCTTAAGGTGTAGCATTTTGAACACATGTATAATATTGTACTGATAAGAAAGATTCAGAAATAAGAAAGGAAAACATTATAGAGGGTACATACTTGGGGAAAAAGAGCATTGAGAATGCTATCAAGTTGGGACTCCAAAATTAAACTATGATTTGCAACTGAAGCTTCTAAAATCATACATAATCCCTGTAATATAAAAATAAAACAATTATATAAATTTGAGACTCAGTTTATCAGCACTCTCATTAAAAGTCATACTTATTTAAAGCACAAAATTTTAAAGTCCTGCACTATTTTCCTGGCTCTTTTGCTAAACTATTTGATTTTTGAAGGATGGCAATGTTTCTAATGGTAAGTAATGACATTTATTTAATTTATTTATGTTTTTATTCACTTTCTATCCTAACTAAACTATTACAAAGCTCATTTTCAAGCATTTAAATATTATGTAATGCTTTGGCATTATTAACTTTATTAAACAACAAAGAATAAAATGGGCAGGCCACATCTTCAGAATGGATGAAGACCATTCCAGAAAAAGAGTTTTCAATGCCAGACCAGTTGGCACACAAAAAAAAAGGCAGGCCGAATTTGAGATGAATAGATGGCCCACAAAAAGACCTTTTGGTCTTAAAAAATAAAAACTGGAAAGCGCTAGCTGGAAAAAGGTTGGTCTGTAAAAAAACTTCTTGTGAAGGCCAAGGCCCACCCTGGGCTGTCGATGATGATGCTTTTAGCAATTTTGCAGTCTCCTTTCGCTCTTGTCAGAAAAAATAAGCATAATACAAACACTCCTCCAAAAGAAACAACACTCTTACAAAAGAAAGGCAATATTCCCTGCTTGTTTTTTGCTTCAACTTTTTTATTATAGTAATATAATTTTAGGATCAAATTCAAAACTAAATTTATGTTTTCATGCTTTTATAAAATTTTGAGAAGAATATATATATTTTTTAATTACATCCTTCAGTTGCTTTTTCGAGCATGAATAGAAGTCTTGCAGTTCACTATAAATAAGGAGTATATCCGGGAGTGGAGAGCGTTTTGAAAAAGGAACTACGAGCATCTCTGAGGGAGGAACAGTTACATAAATGGTCGCCATTCATGCCTACATGTTTCTTGCACAAAATGCAGTCAGGAGAATCAGCAAGTTTAACATGGTGCAAGTGTGTCTGAAGATAGTCATGTCCAGTGCGCAATCGAAAGTACAAGAAGAATATTCTTTGGGAATATTTTGTACCTTTCTTCTGAGGTCAAAACTCTTGAACTCCAAAACTCTTTTAAGAAATTTTTCACAACAATTCTTTCTATTTCTGAGAACTAATTTCAAATGTAAAAATTTTTGCATTTGGCATTTTTTTTGCATTTAAATTTTTTTTTGAACATAAGGGGATTTTAATGTCTTATGTAAATATTGCTTATACTCCTCCTCCTTTGTAAGCAAATTAAATATCCCCTCCTCCTTTTACAGTGCTTATGTAATACTTAAATGCAAAAAGTGATAACTGACTTTTTGTGGTTGGAAATAGATTTTTCTTATAAAAGTACTCTATATTTAAACTCTATAGACAGTGTAAAAAAGGTTCTGAAAAAACGTATATATTTTTTCATGAACATATTTCGTTAAAAAAAAAATTTTTATTCATCATATTTAATATATGAAATCAAAAAGATGAGAAAGCAAACATTTTACTGATATGTACTGATATGTTAACAAAAAATATTTCTAAAAAGTACATAAGTAAATAAGTAGTGCAACACACAAAGTAACTATTTAAAATCATATATCTAGATCTAAAAATCTTATTATTATATGTTTAGCTTGTAACTAATTTTAGAATTGTTGCACAGTGACAACCAATTACAAATCAATATGATCCAGCAACAAATAACTAAATTTTTTTCATACACATGCAAAAAAAAACTGTTCTCAGATGGTAACTGTTTTGTGTAAAAAAGGATCGCTAAAATGCAAACCTTCCTTAATGAAAAAAATAGAGCAATTAAAAGATTAATTATAGACCAACAAACTAGGAATTAATAAAGATTAAATATCGACAGCCAATTACAAGTAAGTATGAACAAGCAACAAATAACTAATCTTTATTCATTCCTTTGAAAATATTTTATTTTGTTCCTTGATGCTTGTTTTGTATAAAGTGTGATTGCTAAAGTATAAAACTTTCTGAAGTAAAAATAACTATTTTATAACAGTTACATTTGAAATTGAGGACCAACAACAGAAGAATTTATATTAGAAAGTATTTCCATGCAAACAAGCAGTAGTTGTGAAATCAAAAATTAATAATAATTTATACCTGAGTTGTATGCTGATATTCCTGATGGCGTTTGTAAATTGCCAAAATTGCAGGTATTAATTTTGGAAGCTGTTCTTCAAGCTTTTCAGATGGAAGCAAATGGCTCATCTGACCAAGAGCAACTACAACTTCAGAACGCACCTGCAAAAGAAAACATTTTTTAAAAAAAAGAAAAATTATTAAGAGGAAAAAAGCACATGTTAGGCAATGTATCAAGTATAAGAAGAGTACATACTAATATCTGGTTTTCAATACTGTTGTAAGTTATGGAAGTTCCATTTTATAATAATTCTTTCAAAACTTATTTAAATCAAAAGAAACCGGGAAATAAACAAAAGTAAATAATTCTGTAAATAAAACTGCTTTCAAAAATTTTTTTTATTTATATCTTTTAATAAGTCAAAGAAATAATTAATAAGAAATAATAATTGTTGTAATTCATTCATGTTGCATTAGAGCTGCACAATTGGCTATTGACGAAGGACTGTGAAACATCCCTGAGGATGATCCAAAGACCTGCCATCACAACTTTGATCCTCTGCTGAGGAGATTGCACCCCCAATTCAGCAGTTCGACGACCTGTGTGTAAAGTTGAGCACTTTACAATAGAACAGTTTAATACGGACCAATACGGCACATCCTCGGACAACCATTCGTAGGTTGATCAAAATGGCCACCCACCCACACACTGAAAGCAGCCAGTGACACTTGACTTCGGTTATTTGCTGGAAACCGTGTCTTAATGATCAATCCACTGTGGGACCAATTAATAAGAAGATAATATTATTTTATATTATAATTATTACAACAGCCGTTGCACAGCCGACCCAATTTTGGGGTTTACGACTACAAATGTTCAACGCCATAGCCTTGTCATTTTGAACCCAATTCAGAAGACAAGTGAACTCCTGGATCAAGTATTGAGAGAAACTTGCCTTCGTGGAGGACTTTATTTGATGGAACTAACCGGCATTTGCGTTACATAGAGATGAAGACCATGAGAACGGGTTAGCCTGATGGCAAAAGGACTCTAATCCATTATCCATCTGACACTGAGGATATTTCACGCTAGCACTGCGGTCGGTGCAAGGCGGGTGCAGATTCGTATCGACCAGTCATCGGTGGATTCAAACCCGGTTCACTTCATTGGAAGGCGAAAGCTCTATCCCCTGAGAAATCGCGACTCAAGAAAATAATATAAGATTCTTAAAATAATTGAAAATGCATACTTTAGCTTCTCTTGATGGGAGCCAATTGTTGAAAAGGACATCATAGGCACTGTTTATTTCATTGGTGAAAGCGTCCCTTGTGACTGTAGGGTCAGGAGATTTCTCAGCATTTGTAATGTATTCCAGAATTGCTTCACAAAATCTGGACAAAGCTAAGTTTTGAATGGTAAAATAAAATTGATCATTAGTTCTGTGAAAACAAAGAAGGTTATACTATGTACAGTAAATCAAAACAGCATGAATAAAGCACTTTTGTATTTTCATTTGTGCTTTACTCACATTGTTTTGCTTTATTAAGGTTAGTATTTTGTGGGTTTCATTAACATACAGTGTAAAGTCGCGTATCCGGAATCGGAGGGACTTCCAGAAGTCCGTATAATAGATTTTTCCGTATAATACACCCCCAAGGTAAACAAAGCTTAAAATGATTTAATAAACGATTTGAATCTAAGAAGCAAAAAATAAATAAACACTATTAAGGGGAATAATGTTTTAGCATTAAAATATCTAATCAATCAAATATAAAATATTAGAAAAAAAATATTATTGCTGAAAATATGGAAAACGAAAAAAATTTAACAGTTATGAAAATATTAATCCGCCATTTTGAACTAGAACGATTCAAGCAGGAAGGGGAAATTCTGGAACAAAGCTTAAAATGATCTAAATCTAAGAAGCAAAAAATAAATAAACATTATTTTTAAGAGGAATAATGTTTTAGTATTAGAATATCTAATCAATAAAATATGAAATATTAGAAAAAAAAGATTATTGCTTAAAATATAGAAAACTAAAAAAAATTGACATATGAAAATAATAATCCGCCATTTTTAACTAGAATGATTCAAGCAAGAAAGGGAAATTCCCGTCATTCATTAAGGTGGATAGATGGAGGAGAAAAATTCATTTCCTCCTTATTTGTGAAAGAAAGTAAGTGTAAAGAGGAGATCATTTAAGTTAGAGGGTGGGAAGTAACAAATTATTGTTTTCTCTCCAACTCCAATCATTGGCTATCAATCAAGCATAAAGGCGGGACATGCTGATCGGGTTCTCCTTATTTTTTCTTTTATGACTGAAAGAATCTGCTAAAGAAAGAATGTTACCCCCTTTTTCCCCCGCCTCCTTAATATTACGTGGTATGGGGAAGAACGAATGTTTTGTTTCTCAAGGACGTGTATCCTTTTAGACCGACCTATTCAAATTTTCCATTCTGACTCCCCCCCACCTTAACGCTTGCCCCGTTTAATCTTTTCAACAGTATTTCTTCTTTCAATAAAAAGGTTCCAGGAAATGCCTCTTTTACTAGCCACCTGCATGGGAAAGGAGGGGGGGAGGGGACTCAGTTGCGGTCTTTTGAAAACAAATCTCCCTCTTTTTCCTACATTCCAAGGGAGGAGCGTCACTAACGGTCACTCAATGGTCTTGGTAGATCTTCACTTCCCCTTTCTGGTGATTTATGGGTTCGATGCATAAATCAGAGGTTCAGTGCAAGCTAGAAAAAGAGAAAATGAGTCAAAAGGTCCTTTTTTTTTAAGGAAAGGAGAAGATGGAGAGATGTTTGTTTATTTTGATTGTTAAAAAGTGTCCGGGAAATCAACCCTTCCGGGAAAGGGACGTCCGGATATGGGACGTTACACTGTATTACAATTTAAAATCTGAAAATTAGATTTTATGTAGTGACCCCATTTGCATATTAGAAACTGAAATGAAACAAATGTAATTTTAAAATGTGACTACTTTGAATAGTGACAAACTTGAATGAAAAATCAATTTTAAGTGCAAGAAATTTTGATGATTATCTCTTTGTGGGTGGCGTGAAAATTGTCATATTATTATTGATGCCGGTGATGCTTCATTAATTGTAGTAATTGATACTACTGGTAAAGAGGTAGTTGGTAATAGGTAACAAATATACTAATATAATATGGTTATAGATTTTTTACTGTTTTCTGAAATGGATAAGTAGCAAAATTTGAGAAATGACAGAGCTTATTAAATGAATTTATTAATTAGAAAAAAACATGAAATTGTATTATTACAACCTACTAATAACAAAAAGTAATTACTCTCTTTTATTATTATTATTTTTTATTTTTTTGTGTGGTTCTGGAACACCAATGAATAGAAAGCACCTCCGTTGCTGTACAAGGCTCCATGGACTTGACACGGAGACCGCAAGATATTGGCGTGCGAGAGAGCTTTTGGGAAGATGCCTTCGGTCCTTTATTATTTTCTATTTTTATTGTTCCTCTGTGTTATTGTTTGTATTCCCTGTCATTGGAAATAAAATAAAAAAATTAAGTTTTTTTCCATCACTTTGCACAAGTCTGGCATCAAAAAAGTCATCTCTAGCAGGTGTGATGTTGGTATGTTCGCTGATGATATTGCTCTCAGGTGCTCAGTTTCAGATGTGACAAGCTCGGAATCAGCTTTAAATTTAACTTTAATTGATGTATGGAAATTAGCGAGTGACCACTGATCTTCAATATCTCTCAATCAAACGTAAGTTTTTTTCACCACCAAGAAGCATATGTACCTTTATCATCCCCAGGTCAACTTTAAGCCTCTTTCATATGTTAAGCATTCCTTTCTATCAAACTCTTCAAATTCCTAAAATTCCATATTTTATTCTCCTTATTTTCTCACAGTTATTAGGATACTTAGTAATTCAGAAAATTGGAAGTCTAAATGACTGGACAGTTGAAACTTTTTTTCATTAGAAAAAGTATGATAAAAAATATATATAATTGATTGCAGATATAAAGATATAATTGATTGTAAACCAGAAAAATACTATAAGCTAAAACAATTACCAAATGCGAATATCCACTTTATATTTTCTTGCTTTACCATTCCAAGTAAAGGTAACATTGTCCCAAGAACGGATTTCAGAAAAGGAACCATTCCAAAAACTAAAATCACACATAAAACATAATTAAACAAAAATGGAGGAAAATAGTTAAACCACATATTTAGAAATATAAGCATAGTGGAAAGTTAATAGTAACAATTTTTATAATTATAAAAAACTGGAAAGCTAATGATGACATTTAGGTGGAAAAAAGATACAATAAAGTAAAATTATTGAAGAATCAAGTAATGTGCACTACAGAAAACAAATATTCAACTCAAATATAGTTAATGTATCGAATTAAATCAATTTCCTAACTTTTAAAATTCTTAATTTGCTAAATTCTTAAAGTAAAACTTATTATTTTGAAAACAAAAAATTTAAATTATTATGCCAATTTTTGTATCACAGAAAAATAAGGTCATATATCTCAATACACCTCATACCATAATATATATTATGCCCTTCAATACAATATCTGATAATATAATAATTAGAATATGATAGAATTAAAGTAATAATTGTAGAATTTAGACTTAGAGATTGAACAGCACCAAAGAGCAGTGCACATTGACCGGAGGTCAATTGTACCCGAACCCTGAATCATGATTAGCGAAAAAGCTTTATAGCTGAAACAAAGTTCAGCAAACGCCTGACAAGAATATTTTGTAATTCCCAGGCCTTAATGCAATGTTGTCCTAAATGCTCAAATCTTTGAGCAGAATTGACCTCACAATCGCAAAGTATATGTTGTGAAGTCTCCTCCTCAAGATGACAACCTTGAGAAAGAAAATCAGATTCAAAATTGTAGAATTCAATAGAAGAAGTATCTAAGAAACATCTTTGAAAGAATTGAAACTTTTTGCTGAAAAATCTTGTTTTAGCCTTATTTAGTTAGACAACATTGTCAATAATGATACCTTTAGGTGTAAGTGATAGATTTTTCCAAGACTTTAAATTTTGAAGAGGTAATGTTACTAAATGACAGTCTTTGCCACATAGTACATTCATTTACTGAGATTTAATGCATACATGAAATCAAAGAAGAAACCTAAGACATTTGGTAACAAGCAGTCAAAAAGTTACCAGTCCTTTGGCAACAAATTTAAAAATCATTAGTATGAATATTATGAGATGAATAGTAGTAGGGGTTACATAAGTGATAGAGATTTATAGATTTTGCCAGGTAGAATGTTTGAAGATAGAAAGTAAGTTTAAAAAATTATTTCCAACTGTAAATATATAAAGTTTTAACCTAAAATAAAATTGGAAGAAATAAAGTGTCGACTTAGAACCTACAATTACTGAATTTTTCACTTATGCAAGAATTTTTTAAATTTCAAATAATAAATATTCTGATTTTTTTTTATTTTTTTATGAATACAATGTTACAACAGTTCTGGAATTTTTAAAACAATTTATATGAAAGAAATATTGTAGTTATAGCGTGATTTTCCGAAGTTCCCAGCAAATAACTCACTTTTTAACATAAAGGTTTACTTTTATCAAAAATTGCTAAAAAGGGTTCAAATATAAAAACATTCATTACAAATTTTTAATAAATTAATGATATTAATAAAAGTGTACCGTATCAAAAACAAAGAATTTTTTAATTCCTTAATAAATTTTATTAAAGTTTTTTAAAGTAGATTTAAATTTTTGTCTTGCAAAGTGGATAGTGAATAAAAAAGGGTTGGGATCCTATGATCTAAAGGGAGTGGAAAACTAAAGCTGGAACTTCACTAAATCGAAAAGGGAATTATAGGGGAATTTTTTTTTCGATTTAAAGAGGATAACACAAAGAAGTATCTTTTAGGGAAGGTAACTATAAACATGTTTGTTACAGTTATGAATTTAATTACTGAAGAAAAGTTTTCCAGGATATTGGTATCTTACAAGTCAATAAAATTAAAAATAATAAATAAACTTTTTAAACAAGGACCTGAAAAAATTTTATATTTTGAAGCTAAACTTTTCTAAAGCGATGTCAATGAATCAGAGAGCCATATTAAAATATCCTCACTGTCTCTCAAAAAAGTACGGAATTTATTGGTTTTCCGAAAAGTAATAAAAGCAAAAATAAAGCATTCCTGAAATAACCTAATGTGGGCCTGAGGGCAAGAGAGATTAAGACTCCACAATTTCGCGACTAAGGGCATGATAATAGCAATGTAGTCAGCCCTGCGATCAGAATGGGGAATGTAGTCAGCCCTGTAGCCAGATCTGATCTGGGTGGGCTTTAAGCTGCCATTGTGAACTGAGCCTCAGTTCTACACATTGACAGTTCAGTGCCTTAACCACTGAACCATTGCAGCTCACTGAAAAATAATTTCACTTCAATATATGGATAAAATGGTTTTCTTCACAAATAATACAAAATTCTTTCAAAAATTAAAATCCAACATGCATTTTTTTTCAATGAGAAAGTGGAAATTGATCCTTATAATGCAGTCAAACCCCGCTATAGTGAACACGGTTTAGTGAGCTCCGGGATATAGTGAACGAAATGTTCGGTCCCCTGCCTTGCTATACATGTATAATGTTATTTTTTGTGGATATAGTGAACCAAAAAAGGGAGGAAGTTGGATATAATGAACTTCTTTCAGTCTTCAACTGATTTTTTTCTTCAATTTTCCTATAATAATTTCGAAATTTCTCCTTCAAAATAAATACATAAACCGATTTTTAAAACCATCTATAGAGGGGAATGTAGCTATAAGCATTTTTTCCTGTTTACTTCTTTTATCTCACTTTCCCATCCCTAAACAAACCAAGCAGATGTTTCCAACCCAGGCAGATGATGCCCCTGTAAGGTGTCAGTGGGATCAATATGCATTTTCTGTCAGAGGGAATGAGTAATTATTCATTATTGGTCAAAGGGTTGGACATTAATATGCAATGATAAGGCCCTCATTTCAACTCTTTTTTGCTCTCAGTTTAGTTAAAAAAAAGCCTGCAAGCAAGTGTCGCAAATTTAACTATGGCGAGCAGTAAACGTTTTGATAAAATGGCATAGTGAGAAAAATTGAAAATGGATGCAATCCAGCTGATATTTGCAGGAAATAAAAACTATTCAAATCTACAGTTAGTAACATATGGAAAAATAGACAATTAATAATTTCTGCTCATGAAAAAAATTTAGATGGCAGAAAAAAGTTGAGAAAAGCAGATCACAAGAATGTTGGAGAAGCATTACTAAAGTGGTTAGCATTCGAAGAAACCGCAATCTTCCAGTATCTAAACAAATGTCGATGAATTTGCTAAGCGATTTTACGAGACTACTTTTATGAGCTCAAATGGCAGGTTAGACAGGTTTAAAAAGCGGAATAACAGAAATTCAGGACAAATTATCTGAGAGTTGGGAAGTGTTTCCATATCTGATGTTGAGGATTGCTCATCAGCTAAAGATTACTATTTTCTTTTTTTGTATAAAAAATCACGCATTTTTGCTACTACATGATATTTTTCAGTCATTTATTTGAATAATGTGTAATAAAAGGGAGGAGTTAACCACACAAATGTTGTTAAGAACAGGAGAATATCGCCAATAATATAAGAATATATTATTGGCTTTTATATTTAGATTTTTAAAAAATATTACATTTATAATTAAAAATATATATATGCTGCTCTGTTCTATACATGAAAGCCTTTTTTTTTTGTAAATAGAAAGCGCTTCTGTTACTTTAAATTAGTAACATATATATTTGATACTATTAAAAATGTCTCCCAGAGTGGTATTAGTACTAGAGAGAATTGTAGCAGAAAGCCTGAAAAAATTCTGCTTGCAGGGAAATTTTACTATGTTTTCAATGACAACGAAAATCAGCAATAGAATATAATTACTTAGTGTAAAACATGATAAAAATTAAGAACACGAAGTACTACAAAAGATGCACTGACCATTGGCAGAGGCAAGATTGGCCATAGTTTGAAGTACAAAAAAGTGAGGCAAGACACCAGGTGTGAATTTCATAAGCAGCTGCTCCATCACTTCATTCATAAAATTTCTCCCCAAAGAAACAAGGATTCCACTGGAACAATTCTGCCACTCGGGTACGATTTCCTGAAAAATAAATGGCATAGTTAATCTGTTACACTCAAATTTCTTTTTAAAATACAATTTTTTTTACATAAAAATTACTTCATTTTTTTAAAATTTATGTTGCAGGGCAAATGAAGGTCAAGAAAAGTTTTTAAATAACCAGAGCCTGACTAAAGCAGGGGCATACGGGGCAGTTTCCCCGGACCCCACTCCTAAATCGGAGACCCCGGCGCCTAAATCGGTAGAAAGTTTTTTTTATGTTTCCTTCTTTATTGAACTTTTTATTAAACAAAATATCAGTACTGAGTAAAATCCATCAGTTTTATGATAGCTTCGTCATTACTTCATCGTATGAACACAAAAAATCTTATTTCATAAATCCATGGCTTTCTAGGGCTGAATTCAACTAAATTTTTGCAATCATGATGGGCAAATTTGGCCAATCAAAAGCTTGTATTTTAACATATAGGAAAATGTGATATGTTTACAAAAATCCGGGCTTCTGATTGACTTAATTGAGCTATCATAACTGCGAAAATGTAGCTGAATTCCATCCTAACTTCGGCAAGGATTTGAATTTTTCGCAGTTAGATGACAAAGTTAACAATCAAAATACTGCATTTCGGAAACTGCATTTGCATGATAGACATAGAATTGTCAGAAAATCAATAAAATGGACAGAACGATGTTTCGTCTGATGATTGTAGGTGATGGGAGACTTTATAGCTATTTAAGATTCTGGAGAAATTTCTTGTTATATATCTATAATGAGAAGAAAAATTTAAATACCACCATAAAGTTTGGTTCTTCATTACTGAAGTAAGGGGGGGCCAAAAGATGTTTTTGCCCCAATTAGGCTAAGTCGGGCCCTGCAAATAACGACTTGGAAATATAGATAATAATGAAGTAATGGACTTGAAATTAATAATAAAAGGTAAAAAGTTTGAATTAAAAAATTATGTACTTGCCGCAAAAATATGTGTGATGCAAAAAGAAAAAGAATAAACACTTTTATTTATTTAAAAAATTTATGAATTTTGATTTTTGTTAGAGCAAACAAATTTTTTTCATTTTTAAAAAAAAGGAAAACCTGGTCTATTGGTGTATTTTAAAATCAGAGTTGAATTATACTTTACGATATAAATTAAAAGTAGTTAAGCAAGTATGAAGTTTAATTCGGAAAAATTTTCAACCTTTAATTAATGTTATTACTAAGCAATTAATAAATACCCACCTCTCTTCCACAAACATGATAAAAAAGAATAACAGAAGATTTTGAATATGCTTTACTTTACACGTCAACTTAATATGCAAATGAAATTGTAATACTAAAATATTACATAAATTATGTGTGAAAGAATGAGTTCTCCATTTTTTCTTATTAGAATGCATGAAAAATGTCATACTATAGCATTATTTAATATCATTAATTAACAGCATTTAATTTGCTGTAGCAACTTATTTAATAAAATTATCGCGTTTTTTTTCTCTTTTTAATTGAATGAATGTATATAGTTTAGATTTTAGTTTAAAAGAGCATGAAATAGTTAAGGTATATTTTCTTAATTACAAAATTCTTGAAAATGAACAGGTCTAAAAATAAAATGGGCTGGGTACACATGGAATAGTTAAGTTGAGGTATGTGTTAGTACTAATGATTTAATAATGAATAAAAAATAAGCTACTTTTTTAAGATTTATTTCAATTTTCAACACAATGAAGCTTTTAGCATAACTAGTCTAAAACCTAAATGCTTAGCATAACTAGTCTAAAACCTAAATGCATTTCAATAATATTTTAAAATGCATTTTCAATGTTTTTCAATATTTTTGAATTATACTCATTTTTATAAAACATAAAAATCGTTAATAAAAACATAGAATATAAATTTGTCAACGCAGACAACAGAATAAAATTTCAAAAATGATTTGAAAAGTAAAATATAAAATTAAAACAAGCACTCCATTCCCTTTTATGCTTTTGATTGTAGTAGACATAATTTATTTTTTAACAAGATTAAAAATCATAAAAGTTTCTGATCATTACTTGTTCTAGAATTACATTTTTTAAATAATTTAAAAACTTTTCAGAACATGGACCTGGATATTCTACATATTTTTTTTGCCTACAGATACACATACACGGACCTACATATTTTTTTGCAAAAGAGCAATAATAGGTAAACATTAAAAATTATGCACCACATATATTTATTTAAGTAACACAGAGAACGTAAGAGCATTAGCAATTAAATTCAAAATTATTAAAATTTTAATAGAAAAATTTACTATTTTTTTTTTTTACATTTGGTTACATTTAAACTAAAAGAACCATAAGAAACAATAGAAATTAAGTCATTTCAAGGATTTTTCTTTAAAAAAAAACAAACAAAAAAAACATTTGATTTAAACTAGCCAAAACCCGGTGCAAACAGATAAATTTTTCACATTTGATACAGAAGATTGCTTTTCATTATCTGTATATTAACTTATGAATACTGAAAGTATACCTCATTTTTTTGACTTTAAATGTAAGTTTCAAAATTTTAATCATCTGATTCATAGACATCAAAATTGATGTTGAGGCACTTTTCTCAAACTTAAACGAATTCGCATTTGAAAAAATAGTAAATAACTATTTATATAAATAGTAATATACTATTATAGTACTTCCTCATAAACCGGGCGTAGAAGAATTTGTCAGTACGCTTTGTTTTATTACGTTTTTACTCGTCCAGAAGCAAATAGTAATAATGATCTGATGTGATTGGAAGTTTGCCAAATTTTGTTTTATGCGATAGTATATATGAGAGTTGCAGAATTTGCATAGAAAAAGAACAAACAAAAATGGCATATCATTTCACTGGCGTTTGAAAAGTATCACTTTGTGTTGTCTCTTTTAAAAACTATCCTACAAAGACTTATAATTAACTTTTTTCTTCTGCCCGAGACAACTCGGGATAGTAAACTGATGGTAAATTAAATGTTTTCACACATAAAAAAAATTTAAATTTCGACCTAAAACTTGTGTATTATATTTTGTTTTAGTTCCTAGCATTTATTAATAAAATAAAAAAAATTTTTGATTCTTTGCATTTTTTTCCAAACAAATTGGTAAGGGAAGCGATTAAAGATTTTTTTTAATAAAAAATTATTCTTACTAAAATAATTTTTTTAAAGGTATTTTTACTATGTTTGCGATAGTTCAAAAAATTGTTAAACTTCAGATATACATCATAATAAGAGATTAAAAGTGAAACAGCAAAATATAGGAGCATTAAGGAAAAATAGATATTCAACAACACATTTTTTTTTTATGATTTTCTCACTAAAAAATTTGATTGTAATTTTTCATATTTGTACACAAATATTTAAAAAAAAAAAATTTAAATTTTACTGAATCTCCTACCTGAAATGAAATAAGCATATTATAAAAACATATTGAATAAACAAATAAGTATGAAGTTGGTAAAACTTTTAACAGAAAAAAATATATAACAACCACAAATAATATACCTTGGTACTTGTCATCTCCTCAACAGCCAACTTAATGAGATTAACGGCTACATTAGTTTTCACAGAATTCAAAGCTTCACTACATATTTTTTCTATCACACCTAAAATTAAGATTTTGTGCACTAGTGCAAGCTGTGAAAGAAAAAAAAATATTACAAAATTGCATATAAAGATTAAGTTACAATATTCTTTGTCAGCATTTATAATTCTAACAGAAATATTTTTTTCGCATATTTCAAATAATAATTTAAATTATTTTAAACTATAAAATTTTTAGTATTTATATATTAACTAGAATATTTTTTAATATGTTTCAAACTATAACATGAACTATTTCAAACTATAACTCTATTTTCAAATTATAATATTTTTGGTGATATTTGAAACAATAAATTTTTTAAATATATTTCAATCTATAACTCAACCTGTTTCAAACTACAGTGGAACTCCAGTTTTATGTTGTCCATTTTTCAAGTTAACTCTCTTCCTATGCAATTTTCTTCTGGCCAGTGAAAATTGCCTATACCAATAATGTTAAATTATTCCAGATTTTACGATACCTTTTAAAGAAAATCCCGCTTCATACGCTTTTCTAACATATCAAAATAATTATTTCTCTACAAAGCTGGAAGTGTTGAAGTGTTTTTTTTTTTCTTCCTTTTTTGTCTATTTGAGATTTGTCTACAATTTGTTTGTAGCTCTTCTGACATTCTTTCTATTCCATGTTACTACCCTTTTAGGAGGATATTTTCCCTCGAGTCAAAATCAGAAGGGACATGGGATGTGCAAAGTACGGGAAACAAGGTTAAAGGTAGTATGGAAGCTTAAATTGTAGAATTTTTTCCAGCAAACTTCAACTTCATCTTTGAATTATTCAATGATTTAAGAAACATTACACTAATAAACAGGTTAGGTAATCATTTCTTTTTTTATTTTAGTGACCAGCAAGATGCTTCTAAAGAATAATAAATATCTCTGAATTTTATTTCTATAGCGTTGGATGCATTGCATTACAAATAGGTTTGCTACTCGAGGTTAATTGCTTCCCGGTATCCCCAGGGAACATTGGCAGTTTGGAATAAAATTAAATGTCTAAAGGTATTCCGAAGTCGACAACAATCTTTCAATTCCTTCAATACCTAATTTAATGCCAGCTTTAAATGATAATGACGAAGATGGTGAAAAAATATCTGAGGATATACCCACAATCGATCCAAAGTTAGAAATTATAAGAACTCTTAAACATTTGTGAATGTAAACAATAAAGCAAATTCTCAAATACATATCAAGTATTGAGAGGGATATAATTATAATTGTATCTAAAAACATGTAAAGATTCCACATTTTTTATAATAGCTCATCTCGTAATTTTAGATTTTTAAAAAATATATTAGAAATTTTTTACCCGATTTTACATCATCTCGCTTCGTGTGTTTTTTAATGCCAATTTGACTGAAAACATAAAATCAGCATTCGACCATATAATGTATTTAAAGGCATAATGATTTATCATTCTTATATGATATTGATATTTTTATTTCATAGCTAAAGGATATTTTGAGAGGTAGAACCCTATCAGAACCGGCCACTTTTACTTGGGTGAATGATCTGAAAATGGGTTAACTTCAAGCTGACACTTTGACATAAAACTGTAACTTACAAAATGACAGTTTATTGTCGTAGTAGCTGTGTGTTCTTTTTATCACCAAATCTATAAATTTTTGCTAGTTTCAAATTTATAGCAGAATCAAAAATTATTTGTTTCAGGGACGGCTGAAATTCTCTGGGAAAAAAAGAGAGAGAGATAATGAGGAAAAACTTTGAAACAGACCTTAGGATGACGGCCAAGGTAGGAATGGCAACTAGTGAGAACTAAGTTAGGTTGATGTTTTCCAATGCTACACAAGGAAGTTTGAATAGCTTGGGTCACATTGTCATTACGATCAAGAGCTGCATCAATCAAAGCAAACACAATATCTGAAAAATAAAAAAAATTTCTAGCCACAGTAATAAAAGCACTAGGTCACTTCCTTTAAAAATTAACAAATATAAGATACAGTAAAAAGAAATAATAAATAAAGTAACTAACAGATACAATAATATACTTTTCTAAACAAACTATTCCCTCATATGCAACAACTAATATCTCATGTTTGAAAACTTAAAATATCATTAAAGCAATCGGCAATAAAAAAAAAAAACATTTAAAGTTTATGTCATGTCAAATTTAGAAAACTTATTTAAAATTTAAAAAAGAGAAAATCATGCAGCAAAATGTGTAAGTTATCAAAAATGATAAACTTAAGGTTCAATTTCCGAAAATTATTCATAATCAATAATTTGAGACTATTATTTTTTCAATAAAGACAGCTGTCATTATTTAAAAGATAGAACTGATTTTGCTGATTATAGTCTTTAAAATAAGAAAACTTTAATTAACACAATAATTAAATAAATAATTTTAACGTGCCTCTTTTCAAGTTTCTGATATTAAAAATAAACTGTAACTATATGTATTAAAATCATATATCTCTACCAGGATGAATAGCCAAATCTTTCAATAAAAAAGCACCTTAAAAGTACTTTTTAAGCACTCCAAAAATATTTTTAAGCACTATATACATTGATAAAATGCAAAAAAAATTACAAAGACTTCACATGATCATAATAAAATAACCAGTTTTCTGACAAAGAACTATTTTCTTGATTATATTAACTATTATGAAAAGATCAAGAAGTTTCTCGGTTCGGTATCAGAGGGTGGAAACGAAGCATGAAATTGAGAATATCTTGCAAAATGCAGCAGAGATGCACATGAGATTGCAATTACCTCATAGAACAGAGCTCAGTATATGCACATACGGACTAGTAAGTATTTCATCGAACCTGCAAAATGATTGGCTCTTTCATACACTATGGACCAGCAGGATGCCGAAATAGATCGTGGTTGATAAATATTGTGAAAACGTTGAATAAAACAATGTGAAAAACACATTTTTGCATAAAATGTGGTGAAAATTGACATGGTAAAGAAAAAATTCTCATTTTCAAAAAAGGAAAATTAAGCACATCTTAAAAACACCCAATGAAAAAGGCACCTTTAAGGGCTTTTAAAAAACTAAAATAAGCACCTTTAAGCACTTTTTAAAAACGCTATGCACCATGTCTATTACACACAATGTTAAACAAAAATGATAAGTCAAACTGTTAATATAAGAAGCAATGAAATTTTTATCAGCTGTGAACTTTGTTGAGTATACGAAGGAGCTGTGGTGCAATCAGACCTCCTTTGATCACCTTCTTAAAAACACCCAATGAAAAAAGCACCTTTAAGGGCTTTTAAAAAACTAAAATAAGCACCTTTAAGCACTTTTTAAAAACGCTATGCACCATGTCTATTACACACAATGTTAAACAAAAATGATAAGTCAAACTGTTAAAATAAGAAGCAATGAAATTTTTATCAGCTGTGAACCTTGTTGAGTATAGCAAGGAGCTGTGGTGCAATCAGACCTTCTTTGATCACCAGAAATATGAAACTGGTAAGAAAAGAAGTGGTATTGAAAGAATTTAATCTTAGACTATGTCAACCTTCATCTATCAAAATTTACCTCAGGGTGGAATCAAGTTAACGTGTCTTACATACTGGTGATTTGGTATTTAATATTTTTAGTGGAAGTTACGCTATATTATTCCCCTTCCAGAATTTTATCTGTGATAGAATTCGATGAACAGATACCACTAGTTAAATCATGCTGTTTATTTATTTATATTAATTTTGCTCATTAAATTTTTTCTTCATTTATTGTTTACAGCATTTCTCTCATTATAATTTTTTTTCCTCAATTTTTTTTCTTTAGAGCATTTCGCTCATTTTTTTTTCTCTTCATTTTTGTTCATTGACAGGGAGACTTTAATTACTTCACTGTGTTTTATTTCTTCTTCTTTCTTTGAGCAGAACATTTTTTAAGAAAATCAACTGCTTAATGTGGATCATCCATCAATATTGGAAAGTTCTTATGACGTCCGGAGGTCACCGATGAGGGGATTTAATCTTAGACTATGTCAACCTTCATTTATCAAAAGGTACCTCTCGAGTGATTCAAGTTAACATGTCTTATATACTAGTGAATTGGTATTCAATATTTATAGAGGTAGTTATGCCACAGTATAAACAAAATGTCTATTAAGATTAAAAATGTTTGAAATTCTATGATATAATATGGCTTGGGTATGAAATTTATTCAAGTTGAATCTACAGACCTTTTTTCTTTTTAATACGAACAATAAATTTTCAAACACACACTTTTCCATGAAAAAGTAACATTTTTATGACTGCTTTGTTCATAAAATGTATGAGGAAAAAGAAGCATAGCTGCAGATGTGTAAGACTTATGTTCATATGCTTATAATTTAATGATTTCAACAAAAAATTTTCCTTTTTAAATCGAATAAGTGAATAACTTACTATCAACTTGGCCACCCGTCGTAGTGAGAGTATCTTCTCCTGTACCCCCTGGCATCATCATTCTGTAAATAAATAAAAATTAGTTTTATATATATACCTGATAAATACAAGTTTCTTATAATTTTGAAGAAAAAAAACGAAAGGAAGAAGAAGTAACAGATACAGTAGTTTTGGGAATGATTTCTTAGTTGCCTAATACACCGCTGAAAACACCTAATTAAAGGTTAGATAGTATTCAATCATAAAAATTTAATCTTATAATTATGCATGTTTCTATAAAAATAGATTTATGAATATACAACATTGCGTTTACATTCATTATGGCGGAATAGTGCATATGTCGGCTATGTACAGCTTACTAATTTTCTAACCATTTCTCTCATCGTTTGTTTGTTGTGCATCGTTGTACAACTAGCGTACTCAGTAATTTTACATTTAAAGCAGTAAAAACTCTTCATCATACATCAAGTTAAACAAGTTTTAATTAAATCATATTTTTCCTTTAGCAAATTCGTTCAGTTTTGGAAGAAAATGCTCTCCTTTCTTAACTACATAACAATGTTAATTTTCATAGCATAGATAATTAAACACAAGAGAATGCTAAGATGGCTTAAAACTGTTTGAAACCAGACTATTAAAAACTGATTAATTAAGATAAATCACAATGAAAGTGAAACAATCTTACTTTTGAGGTTAATTTAGAGATCTGATGATAACACAGGTGATCTGATGATAATATTATTACCGTATGAAGCTTCTATACATTTTATTTATGGCTTTTATTTAAAACTCCTAATTTTATCAAACACACCTTCTATAGTTGATCAGAAAACGTGAAAATGATTCATTTATTTGTTGACATCATGTGATTAGCAGGAACAGAATGGAGTTAAAATAGAAGAAATTCTTTACTTAGATTGGTACCTGTGAAGCCAATCACATTAAAGATCTCTTGTTTGGGTTATAGCGAATGTTTGAATGATTATTTTAAGTGCTTATTTGAGCATTAAGCTTAAATAGAACTTTATCTCGCATGTACGTCTCAGCACATAAGTCGAAATAAATGCAACCAATGAAAAATCGTTTGACTCGCAATAGCCACTCGTGTTCATTTCTACAAAAAGAAAAATAAACCATTAACCGTAGCTGATGTGCAAGCTTGTTTTGTTTGGAACCGAAATTTAAAATTCGTTGCCTTTGTTCAATTAAAAGTCCTATTAACCTAAAAATTATGTAAATGTTTACATCTTTTCTATTAAACTTTAATTAATTTCTTCTAGAAGCGCGTCCATTTTAGTGTCATTGTCATAAGTTTCGTTAATTGTTTAAATATTTGATCAGTTGTATTTGTAAAGATAAAATGTACATTTCGTAGTAATCAACATGATAGCTTCAAAAACAATTGGTATGTTTTTATTATTTTTACTTTTGATTGTTTATTTTTGTGTAAAGCTATAGATGGTCTGTTTTAAAGACTTCATAATTGAATTGAAATTCTCCTTATTTTATTATCATCATTATTTCACGTAGATCAATTTTTATTTTTCAAATGAAAGCTCTTGTATTCCAATCGACTCTGTTGAAAATTTAAGATAAAAACTTATTTGTTTCTATTGTTCTTAACCTAACAAACTATGTATGTTAGTCCTATTTCTTCATGCCTTCTTCCCTTTTATCTTTCTCAAACACGTAATTCAAAGTTTCCTATTTTTTGCCCCATTTCTAGCTGCTTCAAACTCTTGAACTTTATTGTAGATTTCTACTCAAGCATTAGCAATTTGATCTCTTTCTAAAACTTTCTTAACACTAAACATGCCATAACTGGTCAATGACCATTTAANTGGTAGTTTTGAAGTTTATATATTTTCTTGGCAAACTTCAGTTTTTGACATTTTTGACGGTTTAAACCAGTATTATACCCTCGTCATGTCAAAAACCACTTTTTGACGTCAAAAACCCAACCCTGATTATAATAAAGTTCTTTTTTGTTTATTTCCTTCCTAGCATCCATATTTCATGCATTCAATCAAGAAACATAAAGACCGATCATTTGACCGGCTATGGTAGAAATAGGTATATATTAAGTGTTGTTATGTTTAGTGTTAAAATTCTAAATAGTAGAAATTAAGTTTCTTTAGTTACATTGTATCTAGCATCAAATCGTGCTCAAAACAGGTAACATATTTCCTCCAAGGTTTCTTGATTTGTATTTTGTTAAAATCATGACTTAAATCAACTGTAAGTGTGATTTTTTTTTTTCTCGATTAAATAAGTTAGTTGAATGTTTTATAGGGAAATGGTCGACATACAATTAAAGTAAGGTTTAAAGAAATACTATTTATTTTCTCAATTCAAATGTTAAAAGTATTAATGTGAGTTTTTTTATTTGTTTGCTGGCCTGTTTTCAGTTGTTAATTGCTTTTACAATAGTTAAAGATACATTTTTATTCTATTTTGATTTAATTTGAATCAGGAATTTACAATTACATGTATTACGCATTGTTATTGAATAACTTTATAAGCTATTTTTTTATACTTTTTGTTATGAGTTATTTTTGATAATATTTTGATTATAATTACTTACTAATAAACTTAAAATTTTAAGTGTAATAAATTGGTTTTTTATAAAATAAAATCACGAACTCTGGTTTTATTTTGATATAAAGAAGTATTTACTAGTAGTAATTAACTAGTAGTAATTTACTAGTAGCCGCTTACCTGTATTAGAATTCTCATTTTTTTTTTAATACCATTATTAAAATGCATGGAGTTACAGTACTATGATTTCATTTATTAGCCAGGTAGCAAAATTTACTGATTGAATCTGTAACATTATCATGTGTAGAATTTATATGCAATTTCAACACAAGTAGGTAGAAATTGTTATTGTGAAAATTTAGCTTTATCTGTCCTACATTTTTCAAAATTTACAAGTAAAAGGTCCTTATTGTACAGTGCAAAAAAAGTGAACAGAGTACCCTGAATAACTTTTGATCTGATGATCGAATCTTTACGTTCTAGAACTGGATCTTAATGGTTTGAGAGGATGACTTTAAATATGCTAATTAATTAGTGCAGGCGATATTTTAAGTTACAAAATCAAACACAAAAACATATTTACTCTGAATAAATTTAAAAAAATTTGTCGGATTCCGATTTCCGACCCCCAAAATCTAAGAGGGACAGCAATCTGGGATCATTATTCTTATTCATACTTAGTAGCATTTTTCATAATTATGGTCCTCATAGTTTGGTTGGGTGACCTGTCCAAAGTTCAGACCCCTTAATGCTCGTTTTGCTGTTTGAAAAACCGTATGTTTATTAAAGAAATCACATTTTTGTGCCTAATTTCTTAACTTAAAATATCGTCTGCACTAATTAATTCGCATGTTTCAAGTCACCCCCTTCAAACCAACAAGATTAAGTCCTAGTGCATAAGTTAGTTCAAAACATTACTTCAAAAGTTATTCACAATAGTCCATTTATATACTTTTTTTTTTTTTTTTTTGCACTGTGCATAAAAATTTAATGCTGTTTAAGTTTATGAATAAATCACTGTACAGTTAATTGTGTAAACAAGTAGCATAAGAAAATATTTATCTTTTATTATTTGCAGTGTTCCCTAAGTTCAGATTCTTTATTTTTATTCTGAACAAGTTTAAAACTATTTTAACTGTCTCAAATTTTTTTGTTCCATTTATTTGTTTGATTTTCAAATATAAAAAAAAACTTAGATAAAAAATAACCTGCAGACTTATAAATTTATGAAATCAAACAAATTTTATAAACTCAGCAATTAAATTTTTGTAATCTGAGTAAAAAGTTTAAATTAAACTTTATCTAGTGCTACATGATTATTGGATACTGAACAAATTTAACGTATTAAGTATTGGCAAGTTTGTATTGAAATTTTTTCTATTAATAAAATTTTGTTTTTATTTATTTATTAACCTATTTATTTATTATTATTATCATACTATATGTCATAGTACTATATAGTATTTACTAATTTCATAGACTAATGTTAAAGTTTAATTGCAATTTATATTACTTTAGAATACAATAAATACAAATTATTAATTGTATTTCAAATTGATATTTGTGATATATTTTTTAACACCAACATTCTAGTGAGCTCAGATTTGTAGTCATTAGAATGTGTGTATTCTGTACTTAATAATCTGTAAGAATTTTTTGTAATACAATGTTGATTACGTTACTTGTGGATTAATTTTAAATCATTCAAAATTTTGTTTTTATAAAGGGTTTTGATTGCTATTTAAAAACTTATATTGAAAAATTAACCCAAAAATATGATAAAGTAAGAAAATATTTTCAAAAATTGTCACTTCAAATAAAAATCATTTATGACTGGTAAATTTCTGTATATTTTTCTCCTTATAAAATAGATAATTTTGCCATTTTAAAATTGTGGCTTAAAATTGCATCCAAATTTAAAATTCCACAAAAATTATTGTCCATAGTTAAATTTTGCCTTGAATTTAATAAAAACACTCATTAAACACTACTAGCACTGAAAGTTATTTTCATTATTAGAACATTTTCGACTAGGTCATACAGAAAAAAGTTTCACAGCGAAAAAAATGTTTCTTAAAAAATAAAGGTCTGTTAGAATAAATTTACAATAGTGTTTAAGATAATGTTCGAATGTTTAAGATAATGTTCGATTGTTTAAAATAATGTACGAATGTTTAAAACAGTGTTTTCACTACAGCGCGAGAACGCGAGAATCTCGCGTATTTTTTTCTTTTCTCGCATTAAAAAATGATTACCGCGAGAAATTCGCGCATTCTATAAAATTTCAAAATTCGCGAATTTCTCGCATTTTGGAAAAAGCTTCGAATTACGCCAATTAGAATAAAATCCATTTCACTTTTCTTCCTGGATCTTTCATTATTTTCTACATTTGCCCCGTTATCTAGATTCCCTATTTACCAATATTGTTCAGAACTTTTTCGAACAACAGAACGCAACCCCTCCGAACCTAGGAACCCCTTTCAGAACACATTTTTCTGCAACCACGTGTTTACTGCAGGTAAGGTTTTTTCATGTAAGACGTTCAAATTTTTTATGCACTAATGTAAGATGGACAAATACCTAGTAAAGGCAAAATCTTCTATAATGAAGTAGCAAGAATATTCAATGCTTTAAAAAATAGAAGACGTTAAAAAGAAATCTCACTTAACTTTCTGAAATCTCACCCTGTTTTTGAGAAAGGGTGAGAAATTCTCACCCATTTTTTTCTATGATGAAAACACTGTTAAAATAATGTTCGAATGTTTAGAATAATGTTCGAATTTTGTAAAGTTAACAAAGGAAGACCCTTGTTGTTTCATCATAAAGTCAGCTAAAAAAATCTGGCTTTGATATGGTTTGAGTGACCGGTTAGATTTACCACATTGCACTATCTGACCAAACTTGTGCTACATTTTCGTACAGGACATCTGGGGAAAAAAGCTCCTCTTTTCTCTAGATTGCAATGAGAATGGTGTTTGCGTGAGAGCTTGCTTTATTAAAAGTATTTGTCATACTACCGTTTTTCCTAAAGTTGAATTTTTGAAGGTACCACTAAACGATGGTAAATATACCCAGGACAGAACCCTGCAATGTAATTTAGTTATTGATACATATTTTTAGATTGTCCCTTTTGGTTGCAATAAAATTTAATAATTTTTATTTTCAAACTTGTTTTTAAAAGTATGTAACAGAAAGTAAATAGTGTTTACAAGAAAATTGTGTTAGTTATTGCTAGATCTTCATATTGCTTTTGTCTAATTTTTTCACTTTGTTAAAATGAGTTAATCTTGTGATTTTTATTTCAGAAAAAGAGAACATGAACATTATGCAAGTTCCAACTTCACCTAGCTTTTTAAAGCCTAAACCTATAAAACTAAAAAAGAAAGCTCTGAAACCTACTGCATTACCCCTGGATGAAGTTGATACCAATAAGAAAAATGTTGGCTACTTGACAAAGTCTCCAAAACTAGCTCACAATCCATTTCGGTATGTCAATTATATAAATATCTCTTCGTATTGTAATTGACTGTTCAGTGATTTAAGATCTAAATACTTTTGAAATTATTTCTCTAGTTTCTGTGAGATAATTCTCTGAATATAGTCCAGGGGTCTGTCTAGGTTTTTATGAGAGGTACCTATTTTGTGAAAATTAAAAAATCAACACAAGAATATGGTAAAGTAAGAAGATATTTTCAATAATTGTCACTAAAAATTAAAATCATTTATTAATGGTAAATTTTTATGTATTTTCCCCTTTATATTCAAAAATAATTTTGATTTTGTAAAATTTTGTGCTTAAAATTGTATCCAAATTTAAAAATCTATAAAAATCATTGTCCAATGTTAAATTTCAACTTGAATTTAAAAAAAAAAAAAAAAAAAAATATGCATATGGACCTTATTTTAACTTTAATATATGGGGCACATAATCAGTTTTAAAGCCTATGTAGGATGTAATTTATAATTCAAAGGACAAACGGGGTGGCTGGTTTGCCCTGAAAACCCCACCTAGGATGAACCCTGACTTTAAGATAAATAATTCTTAAATTATCAAGAATTAAATAATTTTTTTTCAACCATGAAGAAATATATTATTATTATCAATTTTGTTCTCATTTAAACATATTTTGATCCACCATGCTGACAAACGTTTGCGATAACCTCGAGCCAGAATTTTAATACGTGGTTCGGCTTTCATAATTGGCTGGCATATGAATTATTAGATCTATGTCTATTGTTTATAGTAACTACACAGCTGCAAAATAAATATTCATATAATTGTTCAGTTGAATTACATTGGGAAAGAATAATTTGTTCATTAACAATAAAAGAATTCAATAACAAGCAGATTAGGATTAGAAAATTAGCGCCTACCTAATCTATTAA